AAGGAGGATTTAGTCGCATGCCAATTTTCTACTAACTCTAAAATAATCAAGCAGTAGATCAACCAAATACAGATTTATAATAAAGGGAGCTTCCATCTTGGAATGAGAGGGTTAGGTTATGTGGCCTTAATATATTTTGTAGATGGAGAGTCTGCAGCACCTGGGGATGGAGGTTCTCCATCAGTCAGGTTATAGAAGCTTCCATGTAGGACAGCTTTGTTGCAGTGAATTGTTTTGTGTGGCAGAGAGGGCTGGGAAATAGATTTTTTTTTTTGTATCGATACTTGATTGGTGCGAGGCAAGAATACCTGCCTTATTTGTGGCTGGATCTTGATATTGCCACAAGTTGCAAGAACATTCCAAGTTGGCCCACTGAAGCAGCCATTTCAGAACAGCAGAGTGCTCTTACAAGGGGCACGTGCAGTCAAGCAAGATCACCTTCCATTTTCCCCAGTATGGTGTAGAATTACATTTCAGCATTTTATAGTTTGTGTGAGAAGAGACTCTGTGTGGTACCAGCTTACTGCTGGAAGAAATGCTTTGTCTATAAAATCCCAAATGCACTCTGCAGTTCTGTGGTCCTACAGTGTGTATCTGTTAGTGGTTGCTTTTAATACTCCTAAGGCCTGAGAGTTGTAGGGAAGTATGAACCCCTTATGAACGCAGGAGAAATCAACAAATACAATTGTTTGATTCTCAGTAGCTGCGTTACCCATTCAAGTTTTTAAACCAGGACTGACCTCAGCCGAGTAGCAGGACATTGTTTGCTCTCTCAGTGTGTGCCAGTCAGAGTGAATGGGAAGAACCTTAACTGAAGTCTCGTTGATCGAGACCAGCAAGCATCTTGTCAGGAATATACTTGGATGCATGATTTATACCAATAGTTCCTTAAGCTTTTGGGGATTCCTGTTAGGCTGACAGACAGTCGCCTTTTCAGGCCTTTCATTACAAGCTTTATAAGCATGGTTCAGCCTCCTGGATTACAAGCAGAAATCGGCTAAAGCCAACAGTAGATTTTTTCCATGCTCTACCAGCACATTTAGCACCATTGATACCGTTCTATCAACTCTTCCTATATTTCAAGAAAGAGAGAAAAAAAAATGGCCAACACCACCAGGTCTTACCTAGCAGAGGCGTGCTATGCCTGTATGAAACATCCGAGGGCAGTGTCCTGGGAAGTTCCGTGCACAAGATGGGTCCTTCACTCCACAGTTTTTTAGAGCAATGGAGCTGCTAATTGAAATATAGCAAGTGCTGCTGTTCAGTCATGCTGAATACATTAATGCCACCAACTCCCCCCACACACGCAGTTGCATTTGCATAATGTAATACTAACAGTTATACAAATACATCATCTGTTGCTTTTGTGTCTTGAAAAGCTCACATCCTTAATGTGCAGAACAGATACAGGAAGAGGTAGAATAATTCAACTTTACATTTGCAGCAGACATGTTGGTTCAGGCTAGGTCTGGAACTAGATACTACAAAACCAGGCAAGATGAGCAGGACAGCAGAACCAAAAAAACCCACTCAACCAACCAACCAAACCCCATTAAAAAAAAAAAACAAAACCAAGAAAAGAAAACCCCTTTCAGCCAAGCCAAACCAACCAGACTGAGGGGTGGGAACATTTGTGCAGCACCTGCTACACAGGTCATATTTGCCTCAGCAGGAGGGCATCTCCAGCTCCTCTGCATGGAGGCTAAGCACTGCCCCCACCATCCCCTGCCCCTGAACGCACACCACTTGCTTGCTGTTTAATGCTGAAGAGGTATCATCTGAAGATGGCTAGAGGAAACTTCTGAAGCAACACTTACGCAGCTGCATTTGACCTCATGTTGCTTAAGTGGTGAAAAATGGAAAAGAAATTGGAATATATAGCCCCATCTTCAGCTTCCGATCCTTCTCAAAATGCAATTTATGCCTGTATTTTGTCACAGTGACTGTTCAGAAGCAATAGGAAACTGGTTTTGCAATATATGCTTTTGTATGTGTGTATGCATGTGCATGCATACATATGTACATAAATATGTGCCTCAAATTATTTTTATTGAATGTTTAACTTCGCAAAGTTTTTCACAAGGAAAGTTATTTATTACCTTCAGGTCATGGAAAAAACACCACAACCCCAAAAAACCTAAAACAAAACTAGTGTCACATTTTGACAGGCTCAGCAATGGTCATAGCAAGCACGCTTACCTGCTCCTTTACTGGCTCAGCTGTTGTGGGCAGACTGTAGTCAGATTCTAACTCTGCACAACACTGTTGCGATAGAGAAATAGGTTAAGTCAGGCAGATGTAGAAGGAAAAAAAAAAAGGTAAAAAAGAGAAAGAACACTACTACTGATTATGAACAAAATGGAATTTTATCTAATTGAACTATTTTCACCTACCAGGAAAACTATGCAGTTGTTTTTCCTTGCTACCTTCAGCCTTTAATTCTGCAGACCTTTATGCACAAATAAAAGTTTTATTCACATACCGCTGGTCCATAGTTTTGATTCTGCTCCTCTGATGCCCCTGTTACAGCCTGGGATACATTTTAGGATCTTCTGTTTGCCTTTATAAATACCTTATTATTCTATGTTAAATCCAGACTGTTCAGACTCTGAACTATAGCGTTCCTTACTAGAGTCAGTTGGGAAAAAGTCTTCCCACAATGTCTCCCCCTCCACCCCCTTCCAAACTTGAAGAAAGTATTTTTATTCAAAGCAAAGCACTTCAGAGTTATATAACTTCCAACGTATTTCCACAGAGAGGCACAAAGGTAATAACCGTTTCACTGCCTATTCCAATGTCTGGATACTGAAAAATATTTTATTGCAATATTTTAAACATTTGTTTTCAAGACTGTCTGCAGAAGAGAGGGCTGACTGTGGGGGACAAATCACACCAACACATCAGGGAAAGCTTTCCTCAGCCCCATTTGATATGATCACCAACAATGAAGACCAACACCACACCTGTAAGTTCTAGCTCATTTTTTCCAGAAGGCTGAAGAAGGAAAATAATCATGTGCAGATCAGTATATGCAGTTTACTGCCTCCACAGTTACGTACATGTTAGAAAAAAGAAATCAGATGCTTCCAAATTACTTGCAGTTCATCTGAGCTGTAGGTATCCTTCCACCAGAGCACCTCCTGTGCAAGCCTACCTTTTTCTTCTCCCACCAAACAAGCATCGTACCTGACACAGAAATTCACAGAGTCGCCTTTGAAGCAGTTGCCATCTCAGTGCATTAGCAGTTGCTATAAAGAGACATTTACAAGTCTTACAGGGTTCCTTATAATTTGATAACAAGTAGTCAGATGTTACGGTGCCTTTAAACCTGACTACTGCCTATCATTGTATTTTGCTGTAGTCTAGTGATACCTACAACAGTTTTTCACAGGAAAGAGAATTTCAAAAGTGCATTTTGTTTTGCGAGTTCCACCCTACAGAAAACACTGGGCATTTTTTCTTCCCTGTGATTACATTACCCCTTGCTATAAGGGGGGTGGGGAGGGAGGGAAGGGGCAACGATTCCCCACATCGTCAGTGTTAAGGTGCCACAGTTCCCTGTGGAATTGGATGACTATTATCACTTGATGGAAGAGAATCATTTGTCCTTTCAATTTGACATCCCGTACAGAAGTTTTAAAGGTGATGGGCTTTATGTCATACTTACAAACATCCTTTGTTCAAGTTTGGTAGTGCCAAGGCCTGCCTCTGGTGACTGCTACCCTGATATGTCTATCGGAGCTTTTACACCAGAGCTAATAGTAGGCAGGGAGGTGGCGAAAGGGTGATGGTGTTTTTTAGGGAGTCTCTTTGTTGTTGGGGGGGTGGGGTGGAGGTGGTGGGTGTTAGTTTATTTATTTTCTGCCTTTTTTGAGTCGCAGTGGCACCAGTCTCTTCAACACATCAGGGGTTCTCTCTTTTTTCATTTACACTAGCTGGCTTTGCAGAAGAGCTTTTGCCCATTCAGAGATGGAAAATGACACACTGTTTCCATTGTTAGACCTCTTGCAGAAAAAACAAACTCCAGAGTTGGAAGGAAGCAGCAAGCATGAAAGCAACATGAGTGCACACACACATGAACAATGCCAAAATACTGGTCAGAAGTCAGCAGGCACAGTCTGGTGCTCTTTCTGCTGCATCAATGCATAACAGCTGTGCCTTAGAGCTAAGGTATAGGGTCCCATGTAATTTTTCCTACAAGGCAAACTGTAGTTTCATGTAAAGTTGTTTACAACACACATATATTTTGAGCATCAATCACATTGCCCAGGGAAACACATTCCTGAGGCCAAACTTTCAGTAGGCTTAAGTCAGTCAAATTTTTTCCTATAAGCAAGTGATACACACTGCAGAATTTGGAAAGAAAGAGCCACATGTGCTGGAATCAAACCACTGCATTCTTTAATTGCCCAGGTTTTTGAGGTGTTGATGTTAGCAAGCGAGCAAGAGGTAGTATGAAGTTTCCATTGTTCCATATCAAAAGTTCCATGTGTATGATGCAGTGACATGATTGTTTTCTACTGAAGAAAACAGCCTGGTACCGTGCAGTTATTCAAAAACACAAAGCAAATACAAGCAGCAACCAGAATGCAGAACATAAAAATCAGGTCTGTTTGGTACAGGAAGCTCAAGAAAGAGGGATGACTGTTAAGAATAAGGTGGGCTATTCAGGTGTGGGAACAGCACCTTCAGTAACGGAGTGCCAGTGCCACCCACGCAGTTACTAACCCTTGCTCCTAGGACTAGAGACTTTGTTAGGAGGTTCTGCAGCTTTGGTCAAGCCCAACCCACACTCATTGGGATCCCACCTGATTCTCAGCCCAGAGACCATAGTTGCAGTTCTCTTAAAGGAGAAGGAAAAATAGAAAGAAAAAAAAACCTCCACAGAGCATTTTACCGGATGACCTGCAGATCAGTCCTGTTCCCCCTTGCCATAACTAAACCACAAAGGATTTGCCCATGCAAAAGTGAATGCTGGCACACTGCCAGTAGTTACTCACTTTTCTGGTCTTCCACCTTGTCTTGAAGTAACTGGCAAGTGCTTGTTAAAGCTGCGTTCACATCCTTGAGTTTTTGCTGCTCAGAAATGGCTTCCTCTAACTTGCATTTCAAGGATGCAGCTTCCTCACAAGCAAAGTGAAAGGCTTCAGCTTGATCCTCTGCCTAAGCACAAAACAATATTTAAGAAAAAAGGGAATGAAAAAAAAATAAAGCAGCCTGGCTAACACAAGGAGCCTCTACAGTTCATGTAAATGAAACCAAACTGCATCTGTTCTTTCTCAGGAAGTGATAAAGCTCCCTCTGAACTTCTGCATTTTTACATTGGGGTGGACTGTGTATGGAAGCTATTTTTGGTGTTTTTTTTTTTTTTCCTTTTTTTTTTTTAAGCCACCACAAATATGCAATGCTGCCTCTTTCATCAGCAAACTGTTGTCACCACCCCCTCAAAATTTACTTCCTCTGCTGGTTCCACTTTTGCAATGAGGCACTCCATTCTGAACATGCAGTTTCCTTTCCCAAAAGCAGCAGTGCATTGTACGTAACCTGTTTCCTGCATAGAAGGTCCCTTACCTGTTTGCTGGCATCCTCAAGCTGCTTTGTAGCTTTTTGCAGCTCTAAACCAAGGGCTTCTGCCTGGCCAGCAGTTTGTTCTTGTAACTGTTTGACAGTTTCTATCTCACGTTGCCTGCAGGGCGAGAGAGCACAAACCACAATCCGTTACTGACATTTTAGAGCAGGCATGCCCGAGAGATGACACATGCTAGTTGTCGAGACAGGCATCAAGAGCCACAGTCAGCTGTGACATATTGCAGCTCCCCAGGATCCAGCACCAGGGACTTAGTTCTCGCTAAGCACAATTCAACCCAGTAAGCAGACAAGACTTCTCTATAGCAGCTCTAGAATTAGGAAGGGGATGGAGGTTTTCTCTGCTTTCTCCCCAGCTGAATGGTGCAATGGCTGTGCCTGCCCCAGCCAGTTAGGTACTGTAGTGGAAGCTTTTGGAATATCCAGAGAACTCCCAAAGAGCAAGAGCTTAGTGGGGCTAACTTTTGCAGTTTTGTCAATGCATTCTTTTGACTCGCAGTTTGTGAGAAATAGTAGTTAGACATAGAGTCAATCATTCTAGAAAAGATACCCTGGAGCTATTACTGCAGATAAACACTGGGACATTAGTCTGATGAAGCTATGTCAGAGGATATTCCACTTGAGAGCAAGCAGATGCCATCAGAACTAGTGCTAAGGACAATGGCTTTCAAGGAACCTCTTCTTTTCTACTGCAGAAACCCTTTGCCCATTCCTTTTCTAACTCACCTTCATACATTTTTTTTCTCTTTCTTATTTCTACCACCCCAAACAGTTTTAATAGAGACGCAGTTTTAAGAAACCAAACCATCAGTATTTTTACCAGCTCTTCTCCGAGTGAAGGGAGAGCATGTGGGAGGTCTACATTAACAATATTAAGTGGAAGATAAGTCAGGCAGAAGTGTAGTACGAGTGCTCTGCATTACCTCTCAAGGATGCAAAGCCCTAGGAAGCTACTTATACCCCAAACACAGGTAAAGGCATGCATGCAAAAATTTACATTTAGTGTAGGATAACAGAAGGTTGACACTAATGAGTAAGCCTGGGTTTCACAAAGACATCAAATTCAAATTAGTTGTTCTGGCAAAAAAAAAAACTTGACTAGCTGCTTTCCTGAATGTCTGAGGAGAGGAGGGAGGGTGGGCAGGCAGGGGTTTACACCTGCTGTCTTTTGCTGCCATATTTGTAACATCAAAACTCAACAGGAACCATGTACCAATAAACTGAAATTTAAAGTTAGCTTTTCATATTTAATGAGATAACTCATTGAAGCTATACCCTTGAGAAACTGAAAGATTATATTGTCTGGGGCTAGAAATTATCTCTCAAAGCAATAATACTTGCAGGCATATCTTTTACAGGTCTTCCGCTTTACACAAAACCAGCAGTTTATTTAATGGTTGCACCTGCTAGATAGGCAGTGCCCTCTTGCTTTAACTGTTCGGTCTGTGGTTCCCTGGTGTTTTCAAAGACATTGCCAAGACTGTATGTTACTTCATACACAAACCTTAACTCCCACAGAGTGTAAACGTTATGCTAAAACCAGATCCACTCTCCAAAACATCAGATAGTTTCCTCTGTGAACAAAAAGTCTTCAGAATTCGGTCAGCTTTGTTCCACAAGTCAAAAAAACCCAATCCAAACCAAAACAAAAAACCAACTCCACCAAACAACTAAGCAACCAACAAAAAACCTCCAAAAAACACAAAACCCCAACAAAGGTGCACACACTTTGAAGGGGTACCTGGCAGAGAGGTCTTTCCTTAGGTGAAGTTGCTCTGTCTTGGTTCTCCTCAGGTTGCCTGCCATTCGAATAAAATCCTTATCTAGGGATTCTTTGTATTTTTGCAAGAGTTGAAGTTTCTGGATCCAAAGGTGTCTTTTTTCTCCCAGTTCTTGCTTGAGAACCTGTGGAATTTTGAAACTGAGTTGCCATGTAGTCAGATAGATAAGGAGCAGAACCAGAGAGTAAACAAAAGCCCAAATTTACATGATGAGAATTTATTTCCCTGCTCCACCATTTAGTATCATCACCTATATCCAACAGTATCAGCAATCGATAAGGCGGATGACAACATTTTGTAATCTACTCACACAGCATCTCGTTGGGGAAGACGAGGGAGGGAGGGGACGAGAGAAAGAAATGAGATAAAATACAGTTTAAGAAGGAAGAGATTATAAAAGAGAAATTGGCATTTGCTTTGTACAAAATAGTGTTTTGCACAGTCCAATAGGTTAACTAGCTTTTAACTTCAAATCTGTGCCTTCTTACTCCTGAGTCCGATGGGACGCAGGGGCAGACAGCCTAGACTCCTGCTGAGTGTTAGTACATTAAGAGTTTAAGATGGAGCAATGCATAACAGTTAAAACGTAAGCCTTCTATATGGTAGTTCAATTTGATAAATGGCTCCCACTTTTTCCAAAAGACTACTTCTAAGTCAAAAGCCACTCTTCGGCTTTCTTTCTGTGCAGATCTAGATAGTCTTTTCCTTTTTATCCCTTGCAAAACAAATATACGGTTAGCAAGTATTTATGGTAAGTGTAGCAGAATATTACATGGTGCATGAGGGAGTCTACAATTTACCCCAGAAAAACCTCCAGTACAATATGCCCAGATACAGCCACAACAACAAAAAAAATATTTCATAAGGGGAAGTTTTAATTGACAATTTAGGCGTCTCTGACCCTTTCCTCAAAGTACAACTAAATCCATTGGCATCAATTTGTGTCAATCATCAATATGAATTTGTATCACAGCAATATAAAATAAAAAAACCACCAATAAATCTGTATTTCAGTTTGTCATAGATGCCTAGCAGATGAGATCTGTCCAAGGGATAAGCCCTGTGACAAAGATTTTCAGTTTTACCTCTGATTTGTAGGAAGAAAAAGGGGACGATGATAAAAATGAAGCATTAAGTAACATTGCATCCTCTCTATTTCTCTGAACAGTGATTTGCAGTATAAAGTACTGAGAAAGAAGAATCTAGTTCTCTTTCTCTGACTTTGTTCAACTGAACATACAGAAGAGTCCTTAGCTTTTAAAGAACGCTTAATGAAAGTCAAACAGAGGTCAGGTAAGAATGAGGTTCATATTTCTGTGTTTTTACATTAGTTCAAAGGGGAAAACATCAATTTACAAATATGGGCCACGTTACCTACTTGCAAGTTAGAGCAATGTTGTTCATGACAAACAAAAAAAGCACAGGACATCAAGTGCAATGCTACAAAAAAAAAAAAAAAGACAGAACAGACCCTGAGCAGTATTGCTAGATAGGTTTACTAGGATGACATGGGATGTGACCACATACAAATGCCCACATCCTGAAGACCAGTTTCTCAGCCAAAGCAGGCAGCACTTGCTCTTAGAAATAACATGGTTTTGACCCATAAGTGGTATAAGCTTATCGGGGCACAAGTGCCACAGTCTTATCTTCCAACAGGAGAAGGGCAAAAATTTTTTACTGTCACCATCTATATATTCTTAAATATATGTCTATACACACAAAACCACATGCATACTTAAAATTTACTTTATGTATAATGTACTTCAGAAATACTAAAACCCAGCAAAACGTGTCCATAATATATTGCACAGGAAGTGGTGAAGTATTTAGGCTTCCAGTAAAGCGCATGATCCAAGAATTAATTCATTTTTCTGCAAGAGCTTTCGCTAAGGCTGGAAGAAACTACTTTGAATCTTTCTTTTTTTTGGATCTACTGTTGTTCAGCTCTATATACCATATTTCCCACACATCTGGCTTGTTCTAGCTAGGTGAAGACAATATGTTTGACATTAAGTTACTTCCCGTCCCTACAGGTCCCAGACGGATCAGGACTTTTTTTTTTTTTTTTTTAAAGAATCTTGTTCTTTGATCCTCTGTTAGCTTAGTTTCCAAATGCATCGCTCTCTAGGAGCCAGAATAGGATTAATTTGCCATGATCAACTACAACACCCACACTGAAAGTTTTTAGCTTTGCATGCTTAACAGGAATACCATCCCAATGGTAAGTTGAACAAGCATTTTTCAGCTGCGACAGCTGTGAAGAAGGTAGTTTTCAGTCAACATCAAAAAGTTACAGCAATGCACAAGCCAGCAGTTTCCTAGAGCCTACCCAAAGTCAAACCAGGGTGAAGAGACTGAATCGCTTACACCTTCTCCAAGGGGAAGCTTTCAGGATTTACATAAAAGAGAAAAAAATAAAAAAAGCTGTCTGCAGGACTGGATGGCTGCAATCATTACTCCCACCTGCCCAGGAAAGATGAAGCCAGATACAATATTTTGCAGCACTAGAAGAAAAGAAAGGTAGCATCCTGCTTAAAAGCTAACAGCTTAAAGCAGCATGTACTGTGGTGCCACCTGCTATTACCCAAGTGGGATGAATTGAGGTTTTTGCATCTATTAAGAAGCCAAAAGACAGCATTAGTATACACTTCAGTGGAGTTTTCTGTAGCAGTGTTCCTAACAACAGATTAGGAAGAAGGAGCAGGTTAGAGAAAGAGCTACATCCAGTAAGATGAACATTTCAGAAACTGCTGTTACATGGGAGCAGAGGAGGGAATAAAAGGATGAGAATGGAGCTATGTCCACAGACTGCTGCTACCACACAGGGAAGTTATTTTTGCCAGTTACCTTGAGCAAAATCTTTACTTTCAAGCCTCACAAGAGGTATGAGGAATAGTAAACACACATTATGCCAGATTTAGCTGTAAAATACGTTCTTGTAGAAACTTTTCCTGTGGAATGTGTCCAGCAAAAGCAGAACTCTCTGCCTTTCAAAACAAAGCAAACCCTATGAAGGTTTTGATTTGGAAATCTTATTATATAGCCATCTCCCTCCTCCTCTTGAGGATAAAACCATCCACTACTGGAGTCAGATTCAGAGCACAGGGGAAAATGAGTGCTCAAGGCACACAAATACACAGTGGGCATAACAGTTTCATAGCTCACACAATATAGTGTTGCCATCATGATCTCATTTTCCTTTTCAAGTCAACTTGCTTCATCTAGCCTTTCCTTCAAGCATAGTTTTAACAAAGTGATCTCTTGCAGAAAAGTCAGGAAAAGCACAGCAGTTCAGTGAAAAGAAATCATCCCCTTCCTCCTCAAAAAACAAGGTTACAAAAGATATTTCTCTCCATACAGCTGTCTCTGACCCCCAGATGGACTGCTATGATCTTATGATCTCAATAATTAACATACGTAGCATGCAGCAGTTAAGATACTCACCTGAAGTGTTTGCACGGCCCCACTATTTAATAAAATAGGTTCAGAGAAACAATTACTTACCACAAGTTTTCTTTCCCAAGCCTGTTGCATGTTCACATCAGGATCTTTTATCCATTGTAAAGAAGCCCTGACCAGCTCCTCTGCTTCAGAGGCTTCCTCTTGCTGAAAAACAACCCCCGCACCAAAATAACCAAACAACAACAAAAACAAAACAAAGCAACAAAAAAAACCCCAAACCTGGACATTTCTAGTACTAGTCTGACATAATGTTGCCCAGAATTACCCAGGCTATAAGTTAGAGTAGGTGCCAAGTGATATTGTTGTATGACCCCACTCCACCCCCAAAGAAGCTATTCTTATTTTTTCAAAGGGAGTAAACATGATCTGTTATCAATGCTTGGAGAAATCCTAATTAAAAGGCTGATAGAAGACCACATCCTTATTCACATAAGCTCTGCCACTGACCAGGTTTTGCATGATAGTCTTAAATTTTTCTCCCACATATTCAGGTCCCTGAAGTAAAAACAGCACTTCACGGTCCAGTGTTTCATCCAGGGATGTCCATTCAGTCTTGGTAATCTTTGAAGAGATGGAAGAGCCAGCTAGTTTATTTTGACATCTCCTTATTACAAAACAGCATCAGTGACATTTAGACTTTTCTGAAGTATCCTTGCATCGTATTTACCAGAAGGTCAGAGCTACTGAAACTTGAAGCTTGTAAAAGCTTTTCAAAACCATCATGTCATGGGGATTTAAAAAAGCAAGCCAGCCAAGCTGCTGAGTGATCTAATGTAAATTTTCATGTCAGGAATAGGCAAGAGAATGTCAATAATTAGTTATCTTTATTCAGAATAGGCTTTACCAAGTGATGAATAAGCAGAGCCCTCACTTGCTTTACAGGCGATTTGGTGGAATTGTGTCTCCTTATAGCATGTGAGAGCTAAATGTAGTGACTCACTGCTGTTGTGGGGAGCTGCAATAGGGGACAATACATTACTTTTAAAACATAGCTGCCCAGCCAAGTATACCTCTCACTTCTGGGCCTGTAGTTTTAGTCCATTAGTAGATTTTTTTCTGTTTAAAAACACTAACTCTTTGCAAATGTTGTGCGAAGACACCACATACAAAAACAAGTAGCAGCATGGTGAAGTCTTACAAGGAAAAAAAAAAATATCACTGCAATAGCACGTATGTGTTATCATCTCTGCTGCACAGCTTGCATCTGAAAGGAAGGACAGCACTGTAAGGAAGGATAGGACTCCATGGAACGCCTTTAGGGAAATGGGCACAGAACAGTTCAGATAAAAATCTGAACCGAAATGAGAACGTACATGTAAATTGTTTGTTTCTAGTAGTTCTCCACCGGAGTCCTGGAAAGCTATGAGAACAGTAAATTAGAAACCAAACTTCCAGTGCTATGTGAAGTATGTCTGATCAGAAGCATAGCTCCCAAAAGTCACCAAACCACCTGCCGGGTGTTCTGCAGGGGACACACAGGACACTACAACTCCAAACCAACAGGCTCAACTGCAGTACTAAGATTTTGTCAGCCTGGGCCAGACTCATCAGAAGGATGCCTCTCCTGTCCTCCTCTGAGTCACTATCCAAAGACCTCAGGGAAAAGAAAGAAAGAAAAAAAAAGCTAAAAAAAGAGCTGGACAGGACTTCTAAAGATCAGTCTCCTTTGTACTTGCTGAGGGGCAAGGGAATGGTACCTACACACAGATGCTTATCAGCGTTTCTAAAGAATAAATTAGATAAAGTCTCTACAACTTTGTCAAGATGCTTACTCTAATGCTTAATTTTCTTTTTCACTATATTAGACTCCAAGGAAGAAGTCTCCCCTCCTGCAACTGAAAATCTTTGTTCGTGTCTAGTGTAGGCAGTACAAGTACAGTTACTTTCTTCAGCATAATAGCCTTTATATAGTTGAAAATTTGTATCCTCTCCTATCAGTCTGTTCTCCTGCCAGCTAAATGCATGACCCTAGCTCTTCCAGATTTACTTTGCAGGTCTCTTTTTTTAGATCTCTGATTGTTTTGTTTGCTTTTCTTTGGACTTTCTCCAATGTACTTAGGACAATGTTGTAACCTTCACATTCTATGCTTGCGTGCTAGGATTAATGGCTTAGAATTCCAGGGTTATCTTAATGATCTACAGGGAATGAGCTTTGTTCTTCCTTTATTGATGCAGGACAACTGGGGTAAGATTTAATAAAGACTTGATTCATACCTCAGAAGACTGAGCAAGTTCCAGTTCACAGTGCAGTGAATTCGTCCCTTCAGGAATATTACTGTTAAATTTACACAAACTCAACCCATTTCTAAAAGAAGCAGGAAAAAAAAAGTTATCAGCCCTTTTTGACTTTTGATGAACGACATTTCCTGGGACTTGTTCAAAATACTCACGAGATCAGCTCCTGCTGCATGTGTTGCATGTTCTCCAGTAGCTTATTTTTTTCTGCCCGCAAAGTCTAAAACATACATCAGACCTGATTAGACAGTTTGTCATGCAGAATAAGTACAGAATATGCATGCTTTCCCCTCACATAGTCAAAAACTAAACTCGATCTCATACCTCTATTATTGAGGAACACTCCACAATGGTTAACTTCAGTTCTTTGATGTCCTTCTCCTTCTGCAGAGATTGTGGAGAAAAGAACATTTAAAGCACATAACCTGACAATTAGCACCTTGAAGTGCATTTGTAATACTTACAACTATGATGCTTCGTTACCAACATAACACTATACTCAATCCTACATCACAGCAGTAAACAAATTTAAAAGAATACAGGCAATTACCTTGCATATTGGCTAACAGAAAGCACTCAGAAGACCTTTTCTACATAACTCCTGAAATTAAGGAGACAGAAAAACCCTTTCCAGGGGCTGTGTTTCAATTTTTTACTTACCTGGTTTCTGTACCGGCAGTAGCATATTAAATTAGACAGAAGCACTCTAGTTTTACCTGAAAACCTGGACTATATTATGCCTAGCACAAGTTTTAATCCCAACTGACCCTTAAAACAGGTTGCAGTGTTCTGAATTTACTCTCATTAGTTTTCATGATTAAAGGCATAGAGTGTATCGCTCTGCAGATTAAACACCACCTAATGGAAGTGCTGACAGAACATATCAACCCTTATGGTAAGACTGAGGCGTTAGAAGTAGTAACTTTCTTAGCATCGCAAACTAGCAATGGGCTTTAGTCATGTTATGCCATTACAATAGCAGACACTGCACAGACAAGCAGAGCATGTCAGAAAAAACAGGAACTTCAGGTAGGAGCTTTGGTCCTCTCGCCTCTTATGACTTCTTCCTACTCTTCCTCTTCAAAAAATTGTTGAGGGTTTTGAAAGAGAGAAAATACACAGAAAGCTAAGCAGGTAAGACAGCTAAGCAGAAAAGCGAGGTATAGAACCAGGTTTCCAGCCTTGGCAGAGACAACAGATGTATGGTTCTGAAGTTGTTGGGTTTTTGGGGGGTTTTGTTTTTGGGTTTTGTTTTTCTTTTTTTTTTTTTTAAAAGGAAAAATTAAAGTGTTTTCTATCTTCACATACCTTCTGCAGGCCTTGAAAAGAAAGGCTGCCATAATAATTTTCAGTGACCATTTTCCAAAGCTGGATTGAATAGGATTAAAGAGCTATGAGAGGGTTCTCTTCGCTTACAGGTAAACCCTTATCCCACAGATCCTAATGCCAACAAGCAAAGTCAGTTTTCCATACCAGTATCGTCAAGATTATACAAACCAGTCACCTTTATCTACAAGGATATGCAATCTAGCAGTCTGCTTTCAAAATTCCCATTTAGTCAGTAGACTAGAAAAGTCTTTTTAAAATAAAAGGATACTACAGATTCCACAAAAGCTTTGAATCATTCAAGGAGGAGAAGGTAAAAGCTATTTAAAAAAAATTAATTTGTGCCCTTGATCTGCTTCTACAAAACACTAAAACTATTTAAAAAAAAAAAAACACACCTCGGCTACAAAATTATCAGCTGAATCACATTGAAGTTAGGTTCTCTTGTCACTATTTGAATGCAGCTGCACTCACTTTTGCAGACAGCCTAATAGTCAAATATTTCATCAGCTGATTTAGAACATGTTCTGCTAAACACTCCATTAGCCTAGAAGGGTATTTGCATAATTCATGAATCCAGAGAATGCCAACACCCTTATGTAGTCTTATGTCTGTTTTCTAATACAAAAACAAGTTTAAAAACAACATCAAAAATGTTCACTCTTCAGCAAAGCCTAGATAATTACACTTCAGTAATGAGAGAGGACAAATTTGCTTTTCCATTGGACTCTGAATCACCATTTCTAGTTTGACACAAAAATTAAGCAATTTAAGTAAAAGAAACGAAGGAAAGGATCTTGTGCAGGTACATTCTTTTACCAGCTGTTGAAGGAAGTAGCCTTTAGAAGTTTCTGTACTTTTTTTCCCGAAGTTTGCAAGTTTGTTTTAATTATTATTTTATTATCGTTTTAATAGGATGTCTTTTTTTTTTTCTTTTTTTAAATAAAAGCAAAATCCTGAAACCTTTAATTATGCTGACTCATAACCAGGTCTTAAAGCGGATCTCGCCTACTTTGAAGCCATTTATAGGATCAGGTTCTGTAATATGAGAACAGTACAAATAAAAGTGCCACAGTGAAGACTGGTGCCTTGCATTTTTACAAGTCATCCCACAGTCAGTATTTTGAGTCAAGACGGTAATGAAGTAAAAGCAACTAACCTGGATCAAGCTTGCCTCTTTGTTCACTACAGTGCTCTCATAGATATGTACTTGGATCTAAAGAATGAAAAGACCAAAAATAATTCCAGTCATCAGTATGCATACAAGTCTGTTCCTCTCTCGTACTTGGAAGGGAAAAAGGGTATCAAGAGTCCTTGCTTAGAAGACTCAAATTCTTCTTTGAATACCTTGCGTGGTGTGTTTCAAAGTTCAAATCTTGCATCCAATTAAAAGAGAAAGCATTCTCAGTTTTCACAGTTACCTTTTTTTCCTCTTGTCTGCCCAGGATAATAGTTTCAGCAACATCAGCCAAAGCATGACTTTCTAATATATTTTCTCAAATAGTGAGGAAGAAGAACCCTAAAAGTTTAACTTGGAGAAAAGAATGAAACTGTGGATTGTTTATATTAGCCCAGTTTTTAGCCTCCAAACAGCAACTTTCTTAGTCAAAGCTGTTGCATTGTCCAAGTTATGGGTGCACTGCAGTCTTTAATACAGACAGATTCAGGATTGTCTACTTTCCAGAGGCAGAAATTCCTCTCATTAGACCCAAGTAAGCTACAGGCTGTCTGTTTGTTCCTCCTAGAGTTGAAATGCTTACTTGAAGCTCTGCTGCATTTTTAGACAGCTCCAAAATCTTCTTTTGAAGTCCATCGGTATCCATACTACTCCTAATATTCTGAACAAGATACAGAGTGTTTAGGCACAGCTGAATGGATTGACAGCTTCTCCGTGAAGAAACTAGGCAAAATGACATCTCCACCCCCAAACTACTGCCTACTCTAAAATGCTACCCACATTTATGCACATACATTGTATATGTTTGCCCCACTGAAACTGCTTCTGCTCCTTCCCCCTCCATTTCTCGAGAGCACTGTTAAAAGAAAAAAAAAAACCCTCAAAACATAATTTATAAGCACTACCAGACCTAGAAAGCTAAAGAAAAGCTTTCAGGCCTGCAGCATGAGAATTATTTTTGGAAAGATGCAGTTTAATAGCTATTTGGATTTACAAGCTTTTCAGAAAGACTAATCTTGAATGTGGTAAACATGCAAAGAGCAATGATTACCATGTTGTTATAATAGATTCCTGAATCCATGAGGGGCTTTCTTTTCATTACTATGTAGGATTTAACTGGTTTCTCTATTTCATCCTAAATAATATAAAATACTTGCTTACAGACTGTATTAAAATATTTTATCACCTGATAAAACTTGGTTTATAAAATATTTACTTTAATTAAATAGATTAAAAAAGTAAAAACAAATAGTTCCACGTGAAGCAAAAAAAAAAGTGCCTAGAGATATAGCTCCATTAGCTGTATATTCCCTACAAGCCTCCTGTAGATCCTTGGCCAGTGTCAATGGATCCAGCTGTGAGTGGAGCCCCCAGCCACTGCATTTTTTATGGAGTTACAGCTCTATACAGGGCTCCTCCTTTGGAGGAGGGAAACAGAAGTGAATATGAATGAAAAAATGTTAGATGGAGATTGTTTCAATATGGAGTTAGTATATTTATATCTGTGTTAACTAGAGATATTTGGAATTTGTCTATAAAGCTTTGAAAAAAAGGGGGGGGGGGGAGCTATTTGTCCTTGTGCCACGTACTTCTCCAACCTTACTTCCCCAGCAAATAGAAAGTCTAAAGCACAGTGCAACTTCAGGATATGAAGTTTTATGACAAGTCATCCTTCTAAAATGCAAGATGTTTTGATAACCTAATTAGCATGTCAGGCTTCAAAGTCTGGCAAACATTTCATTTCTTAATAGTGAGCTTTTAGCTAGACAAGAACATGTACTTGCAAAGTCATGATTTATTTTACCTCTTCCTGGAGAGAAGTAATTTTGAAGATGAGAGACTGATTTTCTTTTTCCTGATCAGATATATTAAAAAAAAAAAAAAGGGAGAAAAAAAAGTTGGTTTTAGTATGTCAACTAAGCCAAGAAACAATAGACCACAAACACATCCAGAGCCCAATATGAAGCTGTGGCATTACATTCCTCGGCTTCAGAGAGCACAGCAAAAAGGGGAGTGCTGAGGCTAAAGTCATAAACCCTCACTGACGGGTTTGACACAGACATTCCAAATCAGAGTAAAGCTCAGACCACTAGACGATAGGAAGGAGGTATTCAAGGCAAGAGTGATCAAGTCTAGTTGCGCTCATGCTTAAAGACAAATGTGGAAAGCCTATGTGCCATGCTATACTTTTTTCATATCAGACATGAAGAAAGGTAGTATCCCACTTGGTGCCTCCACTGCACAAGGAAGAGTAACTAAGGGACTTACAAGCCCAACTACAAAACTTCTAATAATATTTATCCCTCCCACCCTATCTCCTTCTCACAAGGTGAATTATGCATGTACTTTCAAATCAAAGCAAAACAAAAATATACACGCACCACAGCAGGATAGCACCCAAAAAAAAAAAAAAAATCTTGTGTACTTGCTTGGTATGGAAGACTTTTTGATTTCTAAATACCCACCATCAGCAGCACACAGAGCTACGGAACACCAATTTACAGCTACGCCCACACAGCAAGATGCAGATATGCCACCGTAGCGTGAAAAACATGCATGGCATCAACGCAAACATATGTTCTCTGGAAAGCCTATGCTCTGGCGTCTGGCAACACCTGCTAAAGCTGCAGCCACATCAGCCTTGTTATCAGGCTGCTTTACACCTCTTACAGTCACACAGGCTTTGCTACTCAGACACCTCAGGTGCAATTCAGATACTTTCATGTAGGCAGCTTGTGCCCTTTGAGGTGCCAAGGAGTGCTGCCTGGCTTCCAGCTGTCAGTCTAGAATGGACAGGTTTTTGATAGGCCCTTGCCATATTACCAGCCCATATGGACATTGACAATAACTTAGGGGTGCATTGGAAAATGACTCTCTTGTGTGGACATCTGAACTGAGTCTCCTGCTCCCTGCTGGTTCTAGAAAAGTCATGTGAATTTCTGGCAGAACATCACCAACTTCAAAACAGACAGGGCTCAGTGATGGCAGCATGAGAGCTGTTGTGTTTAAGCATAGTTATATGTGAAACTGGCCCTTCAAATTGTTTTCTTCATTGTAACTGATAATAGTTTAAAGAAACTTCCATGCAAAAAACTTCACAGTGTTTTTGTAACACTAATAAATCACATTTCAAACATCCTCAAAAAGCCTCGATAGGTCACGTATTGGTACAGAGGTCACGCTACTGATTTTTTCAGTCTGAGTGGCCATGCCACTGTCACAGCAAGGTATGAGATACTGTATAAAGTAAGCTAAGAAATAAGAGCACCTACTAGCTGTTTATTCTGGCAGAGGATTTGCTGTCTCCTCTCTTCTGACAGGTTGAGGTTGTTTTTTACTTCTTCTAGTTCTTCTTCCAGTGATTTGGCTTTCAGCACAGAATGCTGGATGCTGTGGGAGGGGTGGGAGAGTAGAGTGGGGTGAGTAAATCCAGAGAAACTTTAGTGAGTTGGTCATTAGATAGGCTTGAAATACCAAAACCAGTATTTTTAAAAGCCACCAGGGACTTATTCTTTGGCACAGATACTTAGCAGAAGAACAACAGTCAAGCATAATCCCATCATTTTTGTCCAGTAAGTAGTCTCATGGACTTAACCCCTCTATTTATCAACCCCTTCCACTCTCACAGTAAGGTAGGAAACCCCAGGCAAACATAGTATCCAAGATGGCATGCTTTGCTATCCAAGATGGCAAGCTGGACAATCCAGCTTGTTACAGTCAAATATATCAGGTTATCTGAGCACATAAACTCATCTTCACAATACTTTGTTGTTAGCAGTTACAGAAACCATTGCAGTTCAGTTTTCAAGAATAAGGTCTGCAGCATTTTCTTATCCTGATCTGATACTCCAAACAATGTATATTTAACCAATGGGGCAAGGCCCTTTTCCTAGCTAGCTTTAGGCTGCAGGGCACTCCAGAGCACATAATCCAACACGAGGGCACATGCCCCATGCCAGCTACGCTGCAGGACTCCCGCCTTAATCTCCCCAGAAGATAGGGGGAATGGTTTAGCAGTTGACATAACTATATCGCGTTTGAACGAATTGGGTCAGATGAGCACTATGAACTCACTGTAAAAATAGACTCATACTCATGGCATTGATAGGTCCCCAAGCTGCAGCAATACTCAGCTAATGAGGCAACTCACTTGAGTTCCTCAAGGGACTAGTAAAATAGCTCATATGTGCTCATTTGCCCTCTGCTTGGCAGCAAGTGTGTGGTCTAGGATTAGAAGGCTTCCAGTGCTTGGCTGTTCTCTTGGTAGTATTAAGTATTTTTTAATTTTTTCCTTACAATTTGTTTGTTTGATTTTGCTTTACCCTAAGATTTTGCCTGTGTGCACCCACAGCACCTCATGCTGCAAGACCCAGGCTATAAGATGAATGACTGATTTTATAAGAACCAGGAGGTACAGAGCAGAACAATCAGGCAAGAGGGTTAAACCTTACAGATACTACATTAAGTCCAGAAAGTTGCTGTCACGAAGCACCTGTGAGGCTAAAAATCATAAAGCAAGGCTGGATCCCTTGGAAGAAGACAGGTCTGCCCATGATCATTACACTGTGGATCTAGTGCCATCAGGTTTTCTCACCTTTTTATTTGTTGATGTAGATGCTCATTATCTGCCAATAGCTTATTGTTGGTCTCATCCACAGCTTCCAGTGTGAACTTCAGCTTGTTGTTCTCTTCACGAAGCTTCTGGTTGTTGTACTGCAGGTCCACAACGCAGGTTATCAAGTCAGAAGTCTCCCTGTTCCAGTAACAAAACCAGGAAAGATTGAGAAAGGTGATTTGAGCTAATTTAGACTTTTTAAAAATCCTGATGCTGTGCTGCACTGATTAGAGAGGTGAGAGGAAGGCCCACAGAGGGCTTGTAATGCTTCAATGTGCAGTCATTTGCTCTGCACAGAGATACCAGATCATCTTCTGATCAGTTCTAGGGACACAAGGAACTGTTATGTTTTTAAGCATTTTTTTTAATGTTCCCTACAATTAAAGTATGCCACCAGACAAATGCCATATCTGGATGTGTGCATGCCAGTAACTTAAGCCTTTGCTAATCACCTCTTAGGCCACCACTAATACTTTTGTATTAACTCCACAATCTCTGGATCCTTTCTTTTCCCTAAACCATCCTCCACTTATGCTTTCAACTGAAACTCGAACAAGGAACACCCTTTTGAGATCCTGAGAAATGATAGGGAAGCATCAGAAAGCAGATCTTAAGATGTTTGGCTATGCATAAAATGCAAAAGTTAACTAACACCAGAAGTTTCAAAGATAAGTGCTTTGCTATTAACAGAATTCAAGTCACAGTCATGACTATAAAAACAACCCGAACAAAACCAAGGACCAGATTTTCAGGAGGTAACATCTGCTATTGTCATACACCTAAGAACTTGGGGGAGGGAAGGAAACAGTTTAAAAAGAAAGAGAAATACATGTCAAAATTCTGACCACTGGGAATTTAAAAGGCAAATGGACGCAGAAGGCAAATGGACGCAGAAGGCAAATGGACGCAGAAGGCAAATGGACGCAGAAGGCAAATGGACGCAGAAGGCAAATGGACGCAGAAGGCAAATGGACGCAGAAGGCCCAAGCTATCAGTAGGAAAAATTATTAGTGTTTAAGTCTCAAGCAGAAGCTGTGAGGAAGACTGTGATAGTATCAAGAGCTAGTGCAGACTGAGGTTAGCATTAGAAACTCTGCCAAGATAGTTTTCTGAAATAGTGGTTCTAGGAATTACTCTCAAGTAATTCAAAGCTAGGAGAACTAAAGTCTGAGAAAGAATTGCTTAAATGGACTTACATGTCTCCTTTAGACACATCTCCCCCAAAGGCCTCCAAGCTTCCTGATGTAACATTCATTCGGATATGCGTCTTTTTTCCTGAAAGAGGCAGAGTTTTTGCATATAGAGTAAGAAAGAGGAATTTTCCCAAATAGAAACAGAATAAAATGGTCTGCACCTTCAGAGGTGTTTTTGTGCGCTTTCAATTCCAGGCCTTCCATGCTTGGTGTTGGTTCCTCGGTGGCACCATCTTCCCTGAAACAAGAAAGCATCAAGAGTCACAACAGTATGACACTGGATTGCTTACCAACTTTGTAACATTTAAAAGCTTCCAGCCAAAATCCACATTGTGGTCACAGTGTCCTGATACTATGTTCCAGAGTACAGAAGGTACAAGCCACAAGCCACAGGAGAACTTTCTGCTCTCCTGTTTTCACAGAAGCTTTTACGATATAGATTGATAAAAAGCTATTACCATTTTCTCTTACAGTCTTCAATCCACTCTTTCATGATGGCATGGTATGTTTCCAGGTCCATGGAGATATCTTTCTGGTCTGGGTCAAGCATGTTGCACAGCTCTTCAAGACCACTGTCTTCCAATCCCCGACTAGTTGTATGTCTCAAATAATCAATGATCTTGGAAACTGCTACTTTTCCTAAAATAGATACAGGTGTCCATATACCAGACTGAAGTCTAGTAGGCCATTATAAAAAGCTGTAAAAGGGCGTGCTACTGATCTGTACTAGTATGTATTCAATTGCACTAGAGAGCTGTGGACAAGCAAGTGATCCCTGCAGTCCTGGTGTCACCGGGAAAGGAATAGTTTAGAGCTTTTGTTTTGTTTTTCTAATACATAAGCGTGAAAGCCCAGTTTACTATTTTGTGGACCTCACTTTAAGAGGAACAAACTCGACACATTTGCTATGTTACTACTTTCAGGTCTCATCAAATTGGGCAAACCCTGTGACTGACATTATCTTACACTGCTAGATGACTCCTTTCTCTACTGTTTTTAGTCATGTTTGAGGTGGAACTCAAAGGAATTCTCTCTTGCTCTGAAGTTTCCCCAAAGTTCTCTTTTCTATTAAGAAAAAGCCTAAAAGAAACAAACAGTCATTTCCCATAAGGTTCATTGCTAGAATCATGTTGCTTCTCCACTTTCTCTGCGCTAAAATACAGCAAAGATCCACAGGGCTGAGGGGAGGGAAGAGACAGACACCATGCAAAAGAGGCACAGACATTTATTCTGCATCTGCCACACATACAGCCACCTAGCTAAGGGAGCTACTCAATCTAAGCATATCACAGATTGTCATGTCTCAGGAACCATAACATGATCTCAGCCTTGAAAATTTGTTGAAAGAAGAATAAAACAGCAATGAAAAGCCACTGGCAAACCTGTATGCTCTACGTCACATGCACAGAAGATAGTGGTCAATAGGTCTTCTTCACAGATCAAGCTCACATCATACACATGGTCAGCTTTGTACCCCAGTGACTGCTTCCATCCTATGAAGAATGTTTGTTATTGTCCGTCTTTATGTGCTGATAACAACTTTCATGCACCACAGCTTCTAACTACAATATTACTTTCATAATAGCATGAGCACACATAGCCTACCACAGCTTGAATGACACTTTTTTTTTTTCTTAAGATGATTCAAACCCAAACCAACCAGCCAGCTCTCTCCACCCCACCAATAAAAACAGAGCTTTTACTGCCAAATCACACCAGGAACTGTTTATAGCTGGAGCCTCTGAGTTGGGAACTGGTTTATGCATCTACTTCTACACATGCATTTTTGGCAGCTAGCTATTCTTTTGCATGAAGTAAACATATGAACCAGAAGATTTTAAGAGTCCAGCTATTTCTTCCCTCCCCCTCCATATATATTGCAGAGAAATCATCATGGTCAGATTATTAAGAAAATAATCCTTAAAAAAAACCCAAACAAGAATCCACACCAAAACTCATATATCTTTTTATATTAAAGCCAGACTAAATAAAAAGTCAAATCTCTCATTGACAAAACAGAATTGGCAAATTAAAAAGAGTTTGACATGACTTACTAGTTCCTCACTTTTTACATTTACATTAACATTTTTTAAAGGGAAAAATTAAGATTTAACTCAGTTCTTTTTGCAGTCTTATTGGATTTTAGTGATTCCAAAATGTATTGTTACTAGCTTATATAGTAAATAAATGTCACCTATGCAGGCTGAACGCTTGGATGTCTATGATTTTCAATTTGGAGTTGTTTTTTTTCTACACCCACCCACCTCACGCCCAGATTGTTACCTCTTTCACTCAAAGGTAATCTCTTTGGCACAGGAGATTGCATCACCACACTTTCTGACATTTTATCAGATGTGAAGAAGTGTAAATTTGGACTTGGACTTGATGTAAGATACTTCTGTTCACAAGGTACATCTTTAGATTTGATATTTGATAAAGCACACGGTTTGTTCTGGGTATTAGCCTCTCTGGATCTGAAGTAAGATGGAGAATAGTTCTCCATGGGGCATACTGGCATCCATGAGTTGCTGGATCTCTCTTCACTATTAATGATTGAAGATGTAACATGTGGAGAATAGGAGTCAGATATATGCTCGAGACAAGGTGACAGCAGTTGCGAGTCTGCAGAGAAAACACTGTCACTGCTGGGACTGATTAAGTGTGGACCAGTACTATCATGACTTCTAAGAGTTCTTTGCTTCAGTATTTCTTCTACATTTTTTTTTATATTGCACTGTGAACTGTCAAAGTTCCGGGACTGAAACTTTGGTATCTGCAAAGCAGGGTTAGAGACTTGGTCCATCATTTGGATAGATTTGATCTTTCTACATATACTGTCCACTGGGTTATGATGCCGTTTGTTAGCTCCATGTTCTGAAGACATTATCAATTCGCCTCTTTAGCAAAGTATCTGGAAAGAATAGAGACAAAAATATAAAAGTCAGGATGATCAACATACACATATTCTTTGTGCCAATTTTTCTGTTCAGCAGACAGCTAGGAGCTTTGGTATCAAGTGATTTGAAAATCCTTGGACCACATACCAGCTGTGACAAAAAACATGATGTTTAGTTCTCCAGTGATCCGAAAGTGATGTGGATTCGGAAAAGGTGGGGAAGAAAGAAAGAAATACTTTCTGAAATCTCACTGCTTATTCTTAAATACAATAACCATGCCAGGAGAGGGGAGCAAAAATAAGAACTGAAGAACTCCCTGCAACCTAGCAGTTGACTGTCTCTTTAGATTAAAGGAAGCACTAAGCAATATTACTCAGACCAATTTATCCCAAATTGTTGTTTTTGTTTTTTTTTTTTTTTTAATATAAAAAGTGTTCATTAAAAAGAAACAAAAGTCTCACACAACTTTTGTAACTATTACTTCTGATGACATTTGTAGCACGTACTTCCTTCCCTGGTTCCACGGCTTTTTGTTCAGGTGCAATAGCAACAACTGTCCAGCTCTTTACTGAAGGTATCTCCTACAGCTATAGACATTATCAGTTTCTAATCTCTTTCAGTGGCCTCCCAGCCAAACCCTGCAGCCACAGCTACACAAGTCAGTTAAAGTATTCTGAGCCTGCAGCTTTCATGATACCATCTCACAACAGTTTTCAGAAGCCAAGATTTAAATGAAGTTTACTTTCAGGAAAATACTAGGCTGTCTTTCTGGATTTGCTCTTTGTGGGTACTGGCTGGGGGGATGTGGGGAGCTGGGAAAAGTGAGTACAAAAGGAGTTTCAGCATTTCAGTGGGCCTACAAGAAAAAAACTAAACCCCGGTTCTTTCTTATACTAATTAGCCACAACTAGAGCAGTCGCGCTACCACACAGGGAATTTCCCAAGAAGCATACTCTACAGAGGCACTTCAGTTCTATTTGTATTTTTATTACCTATTCTCACAGACAACATTTAAAAAGATATTTCCAATAAGATAAGCATGCATGGGCGACTAAGGCACGGAAGGTGCATTTTGCAGGCATAAAGCCACATTTGAAGTGAGAAATCTATCTCTACCTTGCAATTTGCAACCTTCTCCTCTGAACTGAGCAGTTGGGAGCTTTCATCTGACACTGCTCCACTGTGGACTTCAGTCACAATTCCTCACCCCACAAAGAGAGCAACTGCTGAAACATCAGCACTGATAAACACCATCCACCAGCAAGTGTAACCCAATGAACATGGTCAGACTTGAACAGAGCTCTGTTACAGCCATCAGCAGCTTGACTGAATGTTTGTCATTGGAAAGAAATGAGGAAAACAAGCAATACTATTGGAAGTTGGCTATGACATTTAGATCATTATAAGAGATAGAGTATTTAAAAAAAAAAAAAGCCACCAGATAAAGCTAGCTGAAGCTCCCAAGAACCAGATTTTAAATGACATTTTGCACCTAATATTGCAGCAATACACCTGCATTCCACGACTCTACCACTTTCAACTCCTCAGCTCTGAAAATACACTGTATTGCTTTTCTCCAGAAGATCGTATACAATGTTAAAAAAACCCCAACAACACCCAAAAATACACAAAAAACAACGCTTGTTTTGAAGTAAGGAGCAGGGGAGCAGTTAGAAGTCCAGTGTATGTTAACAGCATAACCTCCACGACCAGCAACAGCAATCCTCAGATACTTCAAGACTGGGTTTTACTTGTAGCCAGCCTATCAGAATAGGACCATTACAGACCAGACTTCCGTTAGTGGTAGAGGGAGAGGAAAATTAAACAACAGCTGTATAACTAGAGTTCACAAGGTGATGTGTGCATGTGAGAGGGACTGACATGGCTGCCCACAGGGACAGAACACCAGACTCCTTGACCCTGAAGGGATTTCCCCTGCATAGTACAAATACCAACTTGCCCCCAGAAGGATATAGACTTCACTGAACTATGTCTTTTTACTCAAACTGTGCATCAAGAAACAAAATGAAGCAACCTCCCCCTCCCCAAGAAGTTAACTCCCTGCTTTTAGGTAGAAAAAAAGAGTTATTTTCTCAAGAGCAGCAACTTGCCTCACTAGCATTTAACAAAAGAGTTGCCACTTGTATAATCTTGTGAAGCAAAGAGGAAAATCACATGTAAGTATTTATCATTCTAAATTACAATAGACATAAATACTAAATGTTTTACTTAAATTGGTTTATTACAAGCCTCCTGCCTGACAGCAGCTTGGTTTTATATATGCAGAGTCAAGATCTCCAAGTGTATCTTTCTACCTGCAAATAGTAACACTTACCTTAATGAACATGTCCTTAGCCACAGGAATACTTTAAAAACAAACAACCCACAACACCAATAATAAGAATCTCAGAGTAATTTTAAAGAACAGACTGCTTTTTATTATTATGGCTGATTTAAAAGATTTATTCCTTAAAAATAAATGCCAGGAAGCTGACACAGTCTCCTATATTAAAGATACAGAATGTCTTTTAGAAGAAAAAAAGATTGTAGAGAACATACTTAAATTTAACTAAGTACACATGAGCCCTCAAGCAGATATAAGTAAGCCTCCATTAAAGAATATTAGTCTTTTTAAGTACAATGCGTTTTCAAA